CCCCGCCCCCCCCCCCGCCTCGGGGTCAGGGGCAGGGGGCACCGCCCGGGGCATAACGGTGAGGAGGAAGCCCAGGGCTGGTGTGAACTTTGGGACCATTTGTGGAGGAGGAGGTGGTGCGCAGCGCACTGTTAGCCGCCCCGCCTGGCCCTGCCAGGAGCCTGCTAGCAGCGCCCGAGCCGCACCTGGCGGCCTTCCCCTGCCCTGTTGTGGGCGCCTGCCAGCGCTAGGGTGCCCATTGTCGAAGACCTTCCAGTTTTCTGCTGTCCTGTCCCCTAGCCATGCGCAACCCAATGCCTTTATGCCCTCTGTTTTTCTCTTCGAGGGATCTTCTGAAGTGTCCCCCCACCCACCCATTTTCTGTGGGTGCCAGCAGGCACTGTTTCTCCCTTCAAGAGAAAAATAGAGAGGTCCCTCCCAACGCTCATGTTGTAGCACTGTTTCTCTCTTCAGGAGGAAACTAGAGGATGTAAAGGTGTCTGGTTTCGTATTGATAGAGGATAACTGGACTGTCCTCTGTGATGGCCACCCTAGCCAACACTCACCTGCCCCAAGACCTCCAGGCTTCTGGAGAGGTTTGGACCCTGCTCCTGACCCTCCTGCTCTGCCCCCCACTCCACAGGAGAGATAGCCTGCTCCCTGCTCAGCTATGAGGACAGCTGCAGCTTGGAGAGCAGTGGGAGCAGCAGCACCAGGGAGGCTGGCCCCAGCGACCCGCCCACCCCACAGCCTGCAGCGGACGCGGGCAGCACCGAGGGCATCCTGCTGGACCTGGCTGCCACACGCCCCCTGGTCAGATCAAAAATCAAGGTAAGCACCTGCATCCCATGCCACTTGGGCACTGCCCATCTGGTGACGCCCCCCTGCACACTGTGGTTAAATCAATTAAAAAATATGGATAGATCCAACCCCCAGACCCACAGAAAGTATTGCCAAGGCACCTAGGCACACTTCTTGCAAAGAAGTTTACTGCCTGGGAGTGAACTGCTTCAAAAATCCTAGCCTGTAGATATGCATTTTACAGGCATATAGGGACATAAGAACAACCAGGCTGTGTGGGTCTGCCTAGCCCAGTGTCCTGTCTTTCACAGACCCTGGCTAAACTAGCTCAGGATCTGACCAGGAAGGAGGCTCTGGCCTGGAGGACCTTCAGGGCCTCTTTCCTTGCCCTTGTTTGTCCCCATCCCCAGGCAGATTATCACTGGGCAGTACCCACTGGCTCCTTGGACTCATTTGAGGGCCAGTGAGCGCTGTCCGGTGTGTTCTTCTCATTGTCTGCCTTTGGCGCACTAGTTGTTACCTTTGACCTCCACTCCTGTCCCTGTTTTCATTATTTCCCTTGTATGATCCCATCTCTGGGCAGAGTATCACTGGACAGTGTACACTGTCTCCTTGGACTCGTCTGGGGGCCAGTGGACATTGTCTGGTGTTCTTTGCTCAGTGTCCCACCTTGGCACACTAGTTATTAACCTTTGACCATCACTCCCATCCCTTTTTTATCATTCATCCCAGGCAATCAGTTGCCACTTTGCCAGTACCCTTACTTTCTGAGGGGGGCTTATAGTTTCCTATGGTGGGCCTTTAGCCCACAAATCTCTAAAGTGGCAAATACACCTGTCTTTTACAGATGCTGGCTAAAGTAGCCCAGGATCTGATCAGGAAGGAGGCTCTGGCTTGGAGGATCCACAGGGACTGCAGGGCTGTTTCCCTGCCCCTTGTCCATTCACATCTTTGGACAGTGTCCATTGGCTCTTTGGACTTGTTTGAGGGCCAGTGGGAACTGTCTGGTGTGCTCTGTTCAATGCCACCCTCCCCCCCCCTTGCTGCACCTTCACTCTGATCCCTATTTTGTCTTATTTGTCCCAAGTAATCAGTGATATGCCCTTAGTAGCCCCCTTTATCAAGAGGGACGTACAGCTTTGTTTGGTGGGCTTTGGCTCATGTTCTGGAATGACATATCAAAAGGCCTGTCTCTCACAAGCCCTGACTAAGCTAGCCCAGGATCTGACCAGGAAGGAGGTTTTGGCTGGGGGGACCCCCAGTAACTGTGGGGCTGTCTTCCTGTCATGCATCTGCCCACATCTCCGTGCAGACTTTCACTGGTCATTGTCCACTGGCTCTTTGGACTCATTTGAGGGCCAGCAGGCACTGTTCAGTATATTCTGCTAAGTGTCTTCCCTTGGTGCACTTGTTTTGAACCTTTGACCTTCACTCCCATTCCTGTTTTCTTCCTTATTTGTCCCCAGTAATCATTTGGTGTGAACTTAGTGGCCCCCTGTATTAAGAGGGGCTTATAGTTTTACTTGGTGAGTATTGGCCCATGTTCTCTATGCACATCAGATTAGGCCTAGCTCTCAGACCCTAGCTAAGCTAGCTGTCTACCTGACTAGGGAGAAGGCTCTGGCCGGAGTGACCCCCGGTGACTTTTGGGTCATCTTCCTGTCCCTCATCTGCTCGCATCTCCAGGCAGAGCTTCACTGGGTGGCATCAACTGGCTCCTTGTATTGCTTTGAAGACCCATGGATGCTGGCCTGTTTGCTGTACTCTGTGTCCTACCTTGGAGCACTTGTTATGAACCTATGACCCCCCCACTCCTATCCCTGTTTTCACATTTGTTGACTGACGAAATCCATTGTTAACCCGCTTAATGCTCCTCCTCCAGAAACGGGGAGGAGTTTGTAGTTTCTGAGTGGGCCTAATCCTCAGATAGTTATATAATTAAATAGATCTGTCTCTCAAAGTGGAAAGAGCAGATGCTAAAGAGAAGAGTATTTATGCAGGGTCTGGCCAGCTGAGTTGGCCCCTGGCTGTCTCCCCCTACAGCTTCCAGCATTCTGAGATGCACATGTGTGAGCACATGTATGTGCCTAACCTCTTCCTGAACTGAGTTAAAAACTTGCCCTGCAAGCTAAAGCCAATGGAAAAGAGGGAACTTTGTTAGAAATGGCAATAGGGCAATAGCCTGAATGGGAAAAATAGTTCAGGAACAAGAAGTAAGTTCAGAACAAAAATGCAAGAACGTGCTGCGCAGCTCTCCTGGATAACTGTTCCCTTTGACTTCAGTGGCGAGTGAATCATTCCCATATGCCATACCCACACTGAGTGATAACAGGCATGTTTTCACAATGGTATGCCCAACCCAATGTAAATGCCTAGAGCAGACTAAGCAAGTGTTAGTGGAGCCATTACAATTTCACCTGCCTTCACTAGGCTTTACTCCTCGTGTGTACACAGCCATCATTGCAGTGAGCTGCAGTGGGAGATGTGACTGTTCCTTCCCTTGAAATTTCCATACATGTTTCACATATGTTTTTAGAATTCATTATTTTGCAGGTTGCTTAGTATTTGCTGATAGTTTTTATTAATAATCATGGGGAGGGTCAGGAAAATAGCCAGGGCTTCAGAAAAACACCATTCCCTCCATATTTGGTATTATTTGAATACAAGATAATCTTTGTGTGTCTTAGGTCCTGGTCATTCAATTGTCTCTTGATAGCTAAAGTCTTGCATTGCCAAAGGATCATGAGTGACTGGTGCCCCCTGAATCTGGGGGGAGACCTGTGGAAGCCGCTGATGGTGGCGGCCCTGTCAAGGGGGGCACCAGCCCTACCGACAGCATCAGTGTCAGCTGTCAGGGGGGCACTGGCACTGTCGGGGGGGGGTATGTGTACCCCCATGCATTCCCTACCAGTCACCTACGCAAAGGATCTATATCTGTAGTCAGGAATTTTAGAACCTGCAGGGAATTTTGGGTCACTTTTTATGTAAACTGCAGGATTTCTGCTGACATTTTAAATGTTTTTTCTTCCTAGTTTACCTAAGACAAACTTTACATTTTAATCCCAGATATCCCTAAAAGGTACTAAGGCCGGGATTAGCAATGTTTTCCCGTGGGGGTGCAGAATGACCCAGCTCAGATCCGAGGAAAGTGGGCACTAGATCTGTCTGCCTCTTCCTTTGCCACAGCCCTCGGTGCTCAACTGTGGGATGGTGCAGTGAGAGCCCCCCACCATCAAGGACCTGGGTGCCTGACTGTGGCACTGCTCGGGCAAATTTCCCCACTACTAAATGCTGCCAAAGCATGGCTTCGCAAGTCAGATCTAAAGGTAGGATTGGGACTGCGGAATGTAGGTTGCCAACCCCTGCACTAAGGGGTTCATGAAGACATGTATATTCCAACCTACTTCTGCAGAGTTGTGTTTTCTGTGAATTGCCACAAAATGCAACCCAGGCTTCAGTGACACTTGTTTACTGCACCATCTGCTAAGTTCCCTTTCATCCTGTTTCAATAGCGAGTAGCAAACACCTTAGCTATCCTGGCAAGCAAAGTCATAGTTAACTATTTGCTTGTTACAAACATTAAGCTTTCCCCATAAAGAAAATTCTTCCCAGTGGCTGACTTGTCAGTGTCTTGTCCAAGCACATCAGTTAGTCATGTTAGCTCTGCTTAGGAATCAAGAATGAAAAAGATTAACCTTAGAATAACACTTTAAAGTTAATCAACAAGCAAAGAAGAGGGGAGATTGCTTCCATTGTTTCAGTCTCTGCAGACTCAACACAATGGTGTTTTGGATTACCCTGGGAGGATTATCTGCGCTGCCAAAAACACTAGAAACACTTTTGTTAAATACATCTTATGTTCCATAGAAAACCGTAATACTTGTGAGGAGGGGCCTTCATGGACACTAAGGGCTTTTTTACATGATAAAGCTGAAGGGATTTAGGTAATGGTTTGATTTTAGACTGATCCAGGCACTGTCTGCACAGGAGAGGTTTTTTGCATATATTCAAAGGTCTGAGTTTACTTTGATTTAGTTATACCTGCCTAATGCTTCATATAGCTGTTTTTATTCCAGGGTACAGGTGGTTTTTGGTTTAGTTTATGCTGCTTGGCGGTGGTTTAAGTTAAACTAAATAGCCACATATGCACCAGAATAAGTGGGTGCACCTGGAGAGGGGGAGAGAGAGGTTACGTGTCTAACTCTACCTGTAGAACAGGTCAGGTTTTCCTGTGTAGACAAAACCTGTAGGGGAGTGTCTACCCTGCAGTCAGGAGGTGGGATTGCAGTGTGGGTAGACAGACACACCTAAGATAGCTTTTGTGTAGCTAGTTTGATGCCAGTAGAGGGGGCAGGACAGGCTTCAGTGTGTGCTCATTGCCTGAGCACATATCCAGGGTCTGGATGGGCTTGTACAAGTCTCTGAGCAACCTGTGCTGCTGTGTTTCATTACTGTTCACTACA